AAACTGTAGGTTCTCTGTCAGCTGAGGTCGAGCTGTTTTTTTTTACATTGAGTTCTATGGGACTTTTTTCTGGGTAGCCCACATGAATTTATTCCGCAATACCACGGGTGCCCCCTGTGCCCATGGGTGGGACAGCTATAAGATAGTAATATCCTATCCAGTTATTATTATTGATCAATGAAAAAAATTCTGACTAGAACCAGGAAGAAAGATTCCTTTAGACCAGGTCGGCATTAGATCTTATGCGGAATCCGGACGGAAGCGGAAGTAAAAATCCTACTTCAAATTCGTTTTAGACTAAAAAGTCCTTAAGTGGTGACTGGTTAAGTTTTAGGTGTCTCAGTAAGTTGGTTAAGGGTGGGTTGGGAATGGCTGGTTAAGTTTGGGCATGAGTAGGTAGTTGGTTATATACTTCTGCTTCCGTAAATCATCTAGTCCTGACCCTTTAGACCTGCAAGTTTTTGCACTGGCTTCCTGCAGCTCAGGGTAGAGACTTTAAAGCAGCTCTGCTTGTGTACAAGTCGCTCCATGGCCTTGCTCCTGTAATATGTTAGTGCCATATTAGCCTGGCCATAGCCATCCATACATTCCGCTCAATCATTTCACTGTAACGTCTGGGTCTGGTCCCTGTGTTAGCGAATACAATCGGTCGTATTTCGACTGGCTACTCAGAGAGCGCGGAAGGCGGGTGTTGTAGGTCGGTGCCGGTGATGTCAAGAGTTTGCGTCGAACGGGCAGGTTGTAGTTTGGCAATAGCGAAGAATGCAATAGTAAAGTAATTGGGTCTGGTTCTATCAAGAAATTGATTGAAGCAGGAGCAAGAGGAATGTTTAGCAAATGTAATCGCTGGTCAAGATTGTGGCGCTACTCCCCACGGGCTCCGTTAGCAGCAAAGGAGACGGGTAGGCTAAATGCTAACAACACACTCGGGCGCACTACAGATTCAGATTCAGTTTATTTGCCATTTGCAGTAAAAAAAACCACATTGGAATACATTAGCAAAACGTCACCAGTGTGCACAGACAAATACAGACATAAAACAACATTAAAAGTACAGAAATAAAACAAATAAAACAGTAAACAAGTGTCACTGTGAAATCGATCGGCAAACAAGACTACATACGTCACGGTAAACTCAGATCTAATCGTTTCAATCTGAAAAAGGTGTTAACCCATCCCACCCATAACCTTGCCTGCAAGCTGAATTCTCGCGGTATGTGTGAGTTCACAAACACTCGAGAATACATCTTGCCCCGCTCCCGCCAACCCTTTTCGAGTAGAACATCTAGGTGTTCAAGCCAATCACGTGCCAGTCTGGGGGTTTAGGGCGGGATATCCGGGTTTGACGAAAGCAAGAAGTGCCGGGCCGAAGCAAAACAAACATGGCTACGCAGGAGGACGGACGTGTAGCTGAGGCTATCAAGTCAGTTTTAGCAGAATCTCCAATTTCTTTTTTGAAAGATAAACAGCGAGAGGCGCTTTGTGCACGCCGATGACGACATAATGTTACCGGGATTGGTTTAAGTCAAACCTTGTTAGGCGGTCACACAGCGTCACTTCGCCCAATCAGCTCGAAGTATTCTGCTGCTTATCCCTCCTTTCCCCGAAAGGATTCTCCTGCAGAAGTCCCAGATTGATGATTGTGGAGAACGCATTAGAGTTCTACACAATCATCAATCTGGCTCTTGCCAGGTTATCCCACCTGTTCACGGAGGTCAATGGAGAAAATCCAGACCTTAGTATGAAATGTAATTTGTACTAAGGTGTGGTACAACCAGGCTAGTGCCATATGAGTCTGAGGGGGAATTTACATTGTAGGCGCTTTAGCACGTAAGCGTTGTCAAACAGCGTACACGTGCAACATTTTTACATTTAGCTTTTTTCGTTCTCCTGTGATCTCCAGTCGAACAGAGGGGACTGTGACAAAAAGCACCAGTCTTAGACAAAAAGCTGAGAAAATGAGGTGTTTGTGAAAACAGACGCACCTGCAGAAAAGGTGACACTATTTAGTTTAACTTTAGCATCTCCTCAAACATGTCCAGGATCTTACATGTTAGAAAACAACAACAAGTTATGAGAAAGTGTTTTTGATGCAAAATAATATGTTTTATGGCACACACACCCACATCCACAAAGTGTTGTTCGAATATTTCAAAATGTACTCATCCAAAAAAAGTCACATATTGAAAGTCCCATGACAAGCTATCCCAGAAAGAATGGCCAGTATTCATCATTTAGGTTTTGCTATATTTATGTGAATAAGAGTAAATCAGAGATAAGCAAACAATTATACACACTATAAATGACAATAAATCAAAGTGAACAGACAATATACTTACTGTATACTATAAGTGCAATAGAATACTGTTGTGTGTCTTTGTGTGTTTGGACGAGTATGTATGTGAGTTTATGCGCACGTTTGTGTGGTTGTCTACAGAGTGCCGTTCTGTTTAGCCCAGCGAGCGCTGTGACCATAACTGGACTTTGCCGCTGGCTCCTGGTGCGGACTCAGTGATAGTTTTAGCAATAGCAATAGCTTTTTTGGGGTGCACCGCTGGTCTGCTGCTCTGACCCTCCACATGGTCTGCTGCTCTGACCCTCCACATGGTCTGTATTAGCTCTGGAGACACATTTACTGCTCAAACTGCCTCCAAATGTAGCCTGACCCTGACTATATTACTCCATGTCTGCTTCACCTCTGTCTCTCCTGCTCAGAGAGCTCAGACAGTGATCTTTGACAAAGACACCCACAGAGCTCTGCAGCCACCTGCTGGCTTAATAAAATATTGTCTACAGCCAAACCCCAGACATGATACACAAACACATACGTACAGTACGCAATATTTACACTCTGCTTTTGAAGACCTTGTAACAAGTGCGTACAGCCCCAATACAGACTCAGCACTCACAAACTGCTGCCTTGGCTCCTGGAGGGATACTGAGAGATGGGTAGAGGTGAATGTTAGGGAGGGGAGATGGGAAGAGGTGGAAGGAAGGGTGGTTGAATGAGGGGCTGCTCGTGTGCCTGGGTCATTCTCTGCAATTGCTCTGTCACTTTAGCCAGTCGGGGAAGGAGCGGGGGACCCTGCGTGAGCGCGATCGTGTGTGAAATTAAAAAGACACTTCCAAAACAACGCTGCGACACACGTGCTTGCCTTCACTTCGGTCATTTATGGATGTGGCGTTCACCGTCACTGCGGATCCAGGTTATTTCAGCAGTGCTACAGCCAGACGCCAAGTGAGGGGCTTTACTTGTCACATAACAGTGTGATCATTGAAAACTCTACATCAGAAGAGAAAAATACCATTTTAAAGCTTTATTCATCCTACAGTTAATAATAATAACAATATTACATTTTATTGTTGCGACATTTTTGTGCACTCAAGGTTGCCTTACAAAAGATGCTAAGTTAAAAACAAAACTGTTAGAAGCTTTTAAGTATAGCCAGCTTTTAAAGCTTTTAGGTTTTGGACAGTGGAATGTAGGGTCACAATGAGAAGGCCAGTCTGAGGGTACAGCAGCTCTCCTTTACACAGAGCTCATTGGTTATATTTCATATTGTTTGGCGGTTTGTCTGTTTGGGGTGTGTTGATGGTCAGTGCTTTTATGAAAAGCGCTTCATAAATAAAGTTGATGTCCTCCCTTTGATCTTCAGATTGTGTATGTGTTTGTGAAACCGTTTGTGATGTTACACACTCCTGCTTTTTCCCATATACTTGTATTCATTACTAAGAGTAGAGCAGAGCTCTGTAATATTCTGTGATAGAATATGCTGTGAAACCTAACTGCATCATTCAACATTGTATCACGCTTTCTGATTGATACGTCTGCCGTTACATTCTGTCATTATGCTTAACTGCCAGTAAACAGCACTACGAAACCCGGAATGTCGTACTGACTTTTAAACGTAGAAACATAAAACATTCATTTATATAACACTTTTTTGTACCAAGCACTGCACATCAAGGTACCGTTCCCCCACTCTCACACATGGACTGGTGTGTGCAGAGTTAAAATTTAAAATGTGTTATGGATAATTAAGATTGTAATCCCGGGTCTGCTCATAAGCATGTGTAGAAACCAAGTTATTTTAAGACATTTTCTTAATTCTAGTGAGTACAATATAGAAAGAGTACAGTACAGTAGTGACTACAACATGGATAGATTGAGTTTAAAATGATGTGAAGGATGTTTGTGGTAGAAGTTGAAGGCAGCGCTGTTGTTTTCTGTCCGTATCACTTGTCAGAACGTTGCGTGTGCTTTGGAACACAAACAGCCTCATTAGTGTCAGACTCTGGGCCTGAGGTGAGTGTGTGTCCAACTCTGTCCAGCTCTAACCGGTCCTGGCACTGCTGACAGCTCCTCCTCTGCTCAGTTTAACCCCAGACCTCAGTCCAAACCCAGTAGCGGGTCACTGTCAGCCTGCATGTGAGAACACTGGTTTGGAGAGGAAGATCAACACAAAACGACTTTAAAATCAGGAGATGTATCCTTCTCACAGAGGGAAAATTTGTTCAGAAAATGTATTTACTGTGATATTGGAAGAGGCTCACAATATTGTAGTTTTATCGAAATATTCATGATGTTAAGAACAAGAAATATCACATTTTAAATTGAGGACTAAAATCAATTCAAATCCTGTTCTGCAGATGTTCATGCTGCACACTGAGACCTAACGATAAATAGCACTTTTCTAAAGCCTGAATCTGGACCACAGACAGACGATACGCATACATATTATGTGACAGACTCATGAAGTGGTGAAAGTAGACTGCCAGCACTTCCTCTGCGCTGTCACAACATAGCGAGCGTCTTTTCACCAAACTGATGAAAAACTCCCCGTGTTCCTGGAACACTGGGCAACAAAAACCTGGCTGACAGTTGACAAGCCCCTTCCCGACAGTATGATGCAGAACTGCTCTGTCAATGGAGATGATTAGCCAAGTCCGTAACAGATTTAATTAGTCCAATATGTGTGTCCCTGTTCGCCGCAGTGGAGATGTCTGTTTTCGCAAACGCAGCGGCTAATCTGCAGCCGGCAAGGATCCCAACTCTGCAGCTGTCGCAGAGTGTTTGCTGCCAGGCCCAGGTGAAACGGATCCATCTCCAGGACAATGTGACTGCAAGATTAACCACAATCAAAGGGTCAATACTGAGACCAACAGATTCACAATGTGTAAGTGTGGGATATACAAAATATCTGAATTAATTAAATTCATACTCTTTCATGATGACAATAATGTTGCATGTGCTGGAAACGACTTGGGAAAACTTTCTCCACTCTACTCTTCTCTACTCACCCAGCTCAAGCAACCTACCCAGAACAAACCAGTATCTGTGAAAATTCCTTGGTAATTTCCACATTTCCCTTTTACGACTTCAAACATATACACGTATGAATTGTTGATATTTTTTATCTTTTAAACAATTGTTTTCATGTTTAAAATGTGATTTACATTTTCTCAAAATAAGATGGGAAATGACAACCTCCCCAACACAGCATGGTGTGAAAAGTCCAATCTGCATGTTACATACCCTTTAATCTCATTAATTTTGTGAAATCACAGCTGCTGCCTGTCTGCCCTGTCGGCCCACGCTCCAGAGACAGAGTGCAGCGGTCCGTGGCCCCAGGTGAGCGCTCGGCCAAAGCCTCTAATAAAGATGTAAACCGCAGAGGCGCTGACTTCGGGGTAATTGAACTGGAGTTGCGCGAAAGCTCCTATTCCCTTAATTATTAAACAGTGTTATTGTAAATTATGGATTATTAGTTCCCATCTCAACAGCGAGGGCCAACAAATTGCACAAACCCCAGTGATGGGCAAATGGTGGTGTAATGAGCTCAGGCAGAAGCTAAATGAAGACTAACTGGGGTGTGATGGAGAAGGGGTGTGGGGGAAACACACACTTCCAGCACTGCTACACTGTGATTTCACCAGAATAACACCTCTCTGATGTGCAGATCCCAGTGAAAGATTTCCTCTGACAGTGTAGTCAGAGCACAGTGACGGAAAAGGAGCTGACCAAGTGTTGCCATTGACTTTAAGTTTGTATCATTTGGCCAATCACGACTGAAACCCTCAGATGAAACGTCCAAAAAGGCATTCAAAAGATCTTACTTCAGGATCAAACACAACATCCTCATTCAGTTTTACAGAGATGATTGAACGCATCCTCGCCTCACCAATAACAGTATGGTATGATAACTTCAGAGTTCACCAACCTTTTTAGCAGTGGAACATCTTTGTTATCGAAACCAGTCAGTTGCACACCATCAGCTGAAACTGATACAAACATGAAACTTTAAATCCTTTATAAAAATAAAAAAAATCTCATCCAAGTGCCTTTAACAGAAAATCATTCAAGGACAGTACAAGTCTTTCTAACCCTGCATTATTTTTATTTCACATTATCTTGACCATTGAGATGATAATGGTTCATTTCTAAAGCCAAACCAAACAACATCTGTGTTGTGCCACAGCGCTCTGGTTGAAAAACACTGACTTATATTCTCACTCAAGCAACAAACTCAAACGCATCATACAAGTCTTCGAAGATCTCTCGTCTTTTCATCACAGGCATCACACATCAAGGTTGCAGAATCACACTCTCTCTCACACACACACACATAGATGTTTGAGGTCCCAGTATACATCAAAAATAGGTTTAGAAAGAAAATGAACCTACATAAATAACGAAATCACAGTTGGGAACCATGTCTTTTTTCACTCAATTTAATGCTTTGTGTGATTATAATGTTTACCTGTATGTCTTACACAATGGCCTCTGACCCTTTTCAACCTCCACCTGTGAACTGGTCACCCCTGCCCTGGACTCATCTCCTGGATCTACAACCTGTCCACCCATGGGAGCAGATCTGTCTCACCAAGTGTTAAAAAGACATTAAGTTAGGGCAGGGGTCGGCAACTCAAAAGGTTCAAAGAGCTGTAAAAAACATCTGTCTGGAGCCACAAAAAAATAACTGCCTTGTATGAGGCTTATATGAAGTTAACACAGGCTGCAAGCTGTATTAGCTATATTAGCCTAATATCTAAATGACAAAGTAAAGGCTACAAATACATAACAAGCATTCATGATTATCAAATGTGTATTTTCACTGCAGCGTGTCCTGGAGAGAATGACGCACCATGTGACGACTCTGCTTTAACTTTAACTTTCATTTTTTTGCCTTAAAGCAATTATAGAAATACAATAAATAAATCTGCTTTTTGGCTCAGAGTTCACATACCTGCATCACTGTCTGTTCATATCAATCACATCACAGGCTGTAGTTTGCCGGAGCTGAATTAATGTCCTCAATGGCCCTTTCTTTCACCGTCTTTGTGGAGGTTTTTGAATTCTGAAAGTAGGTGCTCTGAATTTTTGATGAATCCTTCACGTAATCACCGTGAACTGTGTTTAGTGCTTCATTGTTCCTTGTGTTGCAACAAAACTTATCATTACCACGCAAACAAGAAGCGGTTCCGCATGAGGCTCTGACGTGCAGAATCTATCGGCAACTCGAATTGTGCGTCATTGATCTAAAAGTAAGTTTATGCTAATTAAAGTGGCGTGGACATTACATGAGCCATTTGATATTGTGTTAGGAATGTTTAGATGTGTATATCACAATATTGGGTTGAGTATCTTTCAAGTTTCTAACTTAATTAAGGAGTTAGCTCATTTGCTAAAATCATTCCCAGAGACGCGTTAAGTTATTTGATTGCATAAGCCCTTATAGCATGAATATACTTTACTATTCACTATTGTCATGTTTAGATTATTATTTGTGTATTAGGTCATAAGTGCGTTGGGCTGTGTATTTCTTTGAGACCACTCCCACTTTGACTCCCTCTCCCACTCCTGCACATAGAGATGTATGGTTCCTATGCTGCTGATTGAGCTCCACCTACAACTACACCTATACAGTACTTTTACTCTTAAATACTGAGGATTTGTACAATTTCCCACAGGGTTTCCCAGGGCATTGAAGCTTTACTTTCAGGTCAGTGACAGTGATGATCCGCGATATTTATGGACTGGTATTTTCCAATGTTATTGCTATTCAAATGTTATTGCTTGCTAAATAATATAGAAAACTTTCCTATTGAGTCTCAGACAAAGCCATATGTGCATGTAAGTTGAACCTATGCATTCATTCTGCCAAATCCTTCTTTCAAAGTCTGTGTTTACATCAGCATTAAATGCCTATATAAGTGCCATACTAAATTGTCATTTTTATTGCTTTTGTCTACCTGAGATGGTGTGCAGGCTAACTAGAAACAAGGAGCAGGAGCAGCCACGCCCAGATCAGCTGCAACAGGATCAGCAGCTCCCTAATTGATGGGAGAAGGTGAGATGCTATCAGCAATCCTTCTGACGTTTTGGGGTTAGGAAGGAGGTGTCAAAAAATTGAGCACAAGAATAACTGGCTTGTGGCTGAACACTTATAGAGACATCTCACTTTGATTCTATTATGACGGCAACTGTTAAGATTGTTCACCCACTAACAGTAAACGGGAGCTGGGTTTACAACCTTGTGAGACTGGTCAGTTTTACCCATAGACCGTATATATCAACGGACGTAGTAACGCCTTTCTCCGACGTTGAAACTAATGTGCCACCACTTTCGCCGTCTATGGGCAGCTAAATGGCCGCGAGGGCTGGAAAATGTGAAAAAACGCATTTACGCATTTGTCATTCATTTAACGAGTGCCTTCAAAATTCCACAGCGACTCGAGTGGTGCAAAAAAAATCCACTCCCCTTAGCATTGACACACATGTGGAACGTAGCTTTGGGCCAAGAGCCGACTTTTGAGCCGACCTGTAAAGCTGTTTTTGAGAGGTAAAAATATACCATACATTAGCATTGGATAATTCTTATTCCGGGTCCACCCGGGCCCGGAGTGGTATTGCAAGCATATCAGCACATGTCATTTTTGGACATTTTTGAGCCGGAACCCTAGCCTGGCTCTGCCAGACCCTTGTAGTTCCGCCATGCTCCACCAGAGGCGTTTGGCTGAACCACATGGGTCTGGTATCGACGCCATAGCGAACGCTTTCCCCAGATTATTTTTTAATCGACCAATCAGGATTGCCGGTGTTACGTGGGGTTTGCACTGCCTCCTCAAGCTTCTCTCATGCAGCAGCGAGAGGAATCCAAGATGGCGGACGTAAAGTCCGCGAATCTTTTTAAAAGAGTAAATACGATTGAATTAAGACACGGATGTCACTTTTAATGCAATTTGAGGCGAGATGTTGATGGTTCTATGTTGATATATGTGTGTTTTAAGAGTCAAATTTTCCTGTAAAGTTTGGTTGAAGCACTGGTTCAGTGTTCCTGTTTACACACTATGCAGCAGGGTTGCCAGGTTCGGTGGTTCCTGCATATTTTTTTCCAAGAGACTTGTAGGTATTAAATAAACAGAAAGACAATAAACAGAATCATGATAGCCCAAGTTGATTATATTAGTGTTTTTTTTTTGGGGTATTCTTGTGGATTTTGGGTTGGAAAATCTTGCTGGGATTTGGCAACCTATGGGAGCCGTGTGCTTCGATGTGAGTGGGTGAAAGCAGACTTCATTCAAGATAACGGACAAGTGGTCTATCCAATCACATACAAGGATTTCTTTTACAAGGCCCTGCCTTCTGAAATCCAACCACTATGGCTCAGTACCAGACTCATGTGTGAAGTGCAGCGAACTACATGGGTCTGGCGAGAGTCAGGCTACCGGAACCCGCCCCCACTTTTTTTCTGAATTCTAAGTGGGACTTTCCTGTTGAATAAATGTCAATACAATGAACAATAACTCTCAACTAGTTTTATTGCCTTGAAATGTAATCAAATGGAGAATTTAAAATTCTATAACTTTAAATGGCAGCATTTTGGAAACTTCTGTATAGTTATGTGATGGGAGACCCTGCCACCCTGTTGTTGTGTCCATAGTCAAGACACTTCACCCACATTAGACTGAGTCTGTTGTGTGTGCGTGTGTGTGTGAAAGGGTGGTGGTGGTGGGAGAAGCCAATGGCACAGCTCTGGCTACAGTAGAGTTTATCACCCGTGTATGGAGTGAAAGAATAATGGATAGATGGATAGATAGATAGATACATTATTGATCCCCCTTAGGAAAAAATCAGGTGTCCAGTAGCAGCAAAAATAAAAATGATCATTCTAAAAATGGAGGTGTTGTAGCCACTGGCTGGAGCAGGACAGGTCACAGCAGAAACGATAGAGTGTAGCCTTTGGGTGGAGCAGGACGAGTCACAAGGTGGAGTAGCCGCTTGGTTAGGACCATTTTCTCTGCTCTAGTCCAAAGTTAAAGGCTGAATGCTTAATTAGCATTTTTCAAAAAGTTGAAAATCTTCCAGTGGATTTTTGCCTGATCCGCTTGGTTCGGACCATGAATCCTCTGGTCTGGACCAGTGCAAAACCATGAACACTGTACTGCAGCAACAAACAAAAACTGTTTCAGAGCAACTTAGGACTTGCTGCCGTTCCCTGCGACCACAGCTATGAGCTGCCGCATCTGTAATAGAGGAGGAGAACATGGTCCACTCAGACTCAACGTACCCCTCCTCCTCCGGGATCTTGCAGAGGGGTGCACAGTGAGACGTTTCCAGCTGACCCTCACAATATGCTTGGGTCTGCCAGGTCTGACTCCCTCACTGGCCAGCAAATCCAACTCGCAACCGGGTGGTGATCAGTTGACAGCTCTGCCCCTCTCTTCTCTCGAGTGCTAAGACATGCGGCCATGTCCCCCACCTGGAGGCGGAGGGATGCAACCCTCTCATTGACCGGGGGGAACTCCAACACGTGAAGGAGTTCCAGAGCACAAGCTGTGTGTAGAGATGAGGCTGACTACCTCTAGGTGGTATCTCTCAACCTCCCACACGAGCTCAGGCTCTTTTCGCCCCAGAGAGAGGACTTTCCATGTCCCCTCACAACCAGATGCTGTGTGCGTAGACTGGGTCGTCAAGGTCTCCTCCTTTGACTGTCGCCCGCCCAGTCCTCTTTGCATTCAGCCCCCATGAATCCCTCTGTGGGCACACCACTAATTGATTATATTATATTTATGAAAACGTCCGATATAAATACCTTGTCCTTCACAAACACTAATCACTCATGATAATAAGAAGTGGGTAAGTTAACTCAAACACACATGAAAATGCATAGTTGGCGCCCTTCTATCCTTCTTCTCTGGTCCACAGCCCAATACTCATCTATTTGCCAATATTTCCCACCGACAAAAACACCAACAACATACATCTTACAACTGCACAAGTGTTTCCAGGGAACTGGAGGCCTCCGATGGCTCTGGAAGACGCTCCGTGCCATTGAGTGAACGTTTCAGCTGTTGACAGAACACTGGCTGTTCCACATGACGAGCAAACGACTTGTGTGATTATTCATTTGCTGTGTGCCGCAGATGAGAGCCGATGTGCAGGCGCTGTGCCTTTGATGGCGCGCTGTAGAGGAGGCGCGCGCCACTAATTGAGCGGGTCAATTGCAACACCCAGCGTGTACACAGCCCTCGTCATTAAATCATTACAAAACATTGAATACGGTTTTGTGTCATTTAATTCGCAAGGAGGTGGGCCTGCCGAGACGCTAATTGAATGCGGCTCATGCTGATTATAAATATGGCAGGCTCCGTAAAGAGAAGGGACAGGCTGTGTATGTGTAAATTTGTGAGTGTGTTTGGGAGTGTTTGTACAGTTGTTAATTGAGTTCTCTGTGACTTGAATTTTTTCAAAGTTACAAACACAATCTTGTTATCAAGGGAAAATCATCGTAATTCAAAAAGTGGCCCACAGTAATGTGTGTGTGTGCCTGTATGTGTGGTTTATGCATGTGGTGTGTATGTGTGTGCTTGTATGTGTATGTGTGTGTGCGTGTATTTTGTGGCAACCCCACCGTGCTGTCACCAAAGCAAACTGCTCTCCCCTTCTCAGGTCCTTAGTGATGTCAGGAGTTCAGCTCCATTTAGAACGAAAAACACACAACATTGCAACACAGAACATGTTACCAAGTAACATGTCAAAACACAACACGGTCGCAGTCATAGAGGCATGGTGTTGTTGTGATGTTTCAGACATCTGCCCCGAGGCTGACTGTTTATCTGAGAGCAGATATTGATTGATTATATTGAGTCAGATCAGTGGGGGCGGGTCCCGGCTCAAAAGTGGCCAAAATGATGTGCGCTGGCATGCTTGCAATACCACCCCGGGCCGATGGGGGTGGACCCGGAATAAGAATAAGCATTAGGTGACCTCTCGAAAACGTCTTTACAGGATGTGTGTCAATGCTGAGGGGAGTGAATATTTTTTTTGAAGTCACTCGTTCAAATGAATGGGGCTTGCGCCAGCTGACGCATGCGCAGATGCTTTTTTTCACAATTTTCTTGTGGGCGGGACCACTCACGGCCATTTTGGATAGCTCCAGCAGAGCACAATTTTTGGCCCATTAGTTTGAACGGCGGGGATAGGCGTGACTACGTCCGTTAATATTTGCAGTCTATGGTCCAGATGTACTGTAGCTCTGCTGAATCCAGCTGCAGAACAGCTCTACAGTCCTGCAGCTCAGGACGAAAGACTATCTGAAGAGCAGCAGCTTCTTCCACAGCTCCTGAGAAATGGGAGTGACAGCTTAAGTGTTGTGTTTGTACAGTGGGGCAAAAAAGTATTTAGCCACCGATTGTGCAAGTTCTCCCTCTTAAAATAATGACAGAGGTCTGTAATTTTCATCATAGGTACACTTCAACTGTGAGAGACAGAATGTGAAAAAAAAATCCAGGAATTCACATTGTAGGATTTTTAAAGAATTTATTTGTAAATTATGGTGGAAAATAAGTATTTAATCACTTCAAACAAGGAAGATCTCTGGCTCTCACAGACCTGTAACTTCTTCTTTAAGAAGCTCTTCTGTCCTCCACTCGTTAGCTGTATTAATGGCACCTGTTTGAACTTGTTATCTGTATAAAAGACACCTGTCCACGGCCTCAAACAGTCAGACTCCAAACTCCACTATGGTCAAGACCAAAGAGCTGTCGAAGGACACCAGGAATAGAATTGTAGACCTGCACCAGACTGGGAAGAGTGAATCTACAATAGGCAATCAATCTCCCTCAATCTGGGGCTCCACTCAAGATCTCATCCCGTGGGGTCAAAATGATCATGAGAATGGTGATCAAAAATCCCAGAACCACACGGGGGGGACCTGGTGAATGACCTGCTGAGAGCTGGGACCAAAGTAACAAAGGTTACCATCAGTAACACACTACGACGACAGGGAATCAAATCCTGCAGTGCCAGACGTGTCCCCCTGCTGAAACCAGTGCATGTCCAGGCCCGTCTGAAGTTTGCCAGAGAGCACATGGATGATACAGCAGAGGATTGGGAGAATGTCATGTGGTCAAATGAAACCAAAGTAGAACTGGTTGGTATAAACTCAACTCGTCGTATTTGGAGGAAGAAAATACTGAGTTGCATTCCAAGAACACCATACCTACTGTGAAGCATGGGGGTGGAAACGTCATGCTTTGGGGCTGTTTTCTGCTAAGGGACAGGACGACTGATCTGTGTTAAGGAAAGAATGAATGGGGCCATGTATCGTGAGATTTTGAGCCAAAACCTTCCATCAGTGAGAGCTTTGAAGATGAAACGTGGCTGGGTCTTCCAGCATGACAATGATCCCAAACACACCGCCCGGGCAACGAAGGAGTGGCTCCGTAAGAAGCATTTGAAAGTCCTGGAGTGGCCTAGCCAGTCTCCAGACCTCAACCCCATTGAAAATCTGTGGAGGGAGTTGAAAGTCCGTGTTGCTCGGCGACAGCCCCAAAACATCACTGCTCTCAAGAAGATCTGCATGGAGGAATGGGCCAAAATACCAGCTACTGTTATAGTAATCGTTTGAGCTCTGTTATTGCCAACAAAGGTTATATTACAAAGTATTGAGTTGAATTTTTGTTATTGACCAAATACTTATTTTCCACCATAATTTACAAATAAATTATTTAAAAATCCTACAATGAGAATTCCTGGATTTTTTTTTCACATTCTGTCTCTCACAGTTGAAGTGCACCAATGATGAAAATTACAGACCTTTGTCATTGTGCAAGTTCTCCCACTTAAAATAATCGGTGGCTGACTAAATACTTTTTTGCCCCACTGTATTTTTGTTGGGTATGGAAAGCACCAACACTGCCATCTAATGGTAGCAGTGGGGCACTCCGGGATACCTCTGCTTGATGTTGATCTATATGAGACATAAGCTAAGTCCAAACTGAGTGTGTTATGGTATGTGACACTCTGCTGTTAACATAAAGTAGTCTTTAATATCATAAACACAAGTTCGCAGTGTCACACAGGCAACTTCAGCTCCATCAATCAACAGCCTCAGTCCCTCGTCAACAGCCTGAGTCCTGGATCTCAGGACTGTTGGATAAGGAGATTTTTCAGAACATTTAACACTAGAACTCCAGAGCATTCAAATTGACGGCTGTAATTTCTCAGCATATGTAACTTTTTGGTCTTCATAACTTTAAGACCATAATTTATTTCTGTTGTTACTTTCATGTAATAATCTTTATTTCTGAAATTTTAGGAGTTCTACCTTTCTCTAATTGTAAAATTATTATCTAATCCTATTTGGTTGCATGACAACCAAAAGCCTCTAAAGCCCCTTTCTCCAATATGCATGGTCCTGGTTCTGAACTGTGTCAGCTTGTTTTCACATCAGATGAAAGCAAGTGCAACTTACCATAGCAACACAATGTTCACTTGACAGCAGTTAGCTATTGGTATTAATTATGTTATTTAATTGCTTTTCAACAAACTGTGTTACCGTATTTGAAGTTAATACCTTGAAATTAGGCAACACAGTTAACCAGTTTAGCACTTATAAAAGGTAAAAACTGTATACATTACTTAATTTAAATAAAAAACTAGAGAGTAACCAAAACGTTTTTGGGGCAATTTTTCAGGTTTCTATTTGTTTGAATGAGAGCTATTAAAAGGACTGCTCTGGAAGTTCTGGTAGTTTCATATTTCTGGGAGTTCTAATGTTAAAACAGCGAAGGATGAGCTGGCAGCAATGTGTGTGTGCAGCCTCGTGCCTCATTCCTGCTGTAATCCTGCTTGTGCCACCAGCAGCCACCGTACGCTGTGTGGATATGGGCTTTGTGTTGTTTTAACCGCGGCTTTGCTCTGATGCAGCTGTGTGTTTAAGAGCGACACAACGCCGCTGCTCTGTCTGAAGTGGAGGATTGTTTGTCTCCACAAAAGCCAGCGGTAATCGAATGTTTTAAGTCGTCCCAGTCGCGTCTCTGAGAGCAGACAAACCCTGAGTACAAACACCACGCACGCTACTTCTTGCCTTTTTCTCGTGTAAATCCTGCATTAGCTTTATTAGATATCCGGCAGACATAAACAGAATAATAACCCTGTGCCTTCTGTGTTTTAGTATGTGCATAAATAACTAGGCTCTTTACAAGTGAAGTCTTAATTCAAAGATCCCAGTGTTTGTGCAGGTTTGACTTGTTTTGAACCAAATCATATGTTATTATCTTCCATTCAGAGTTTTAAAAACAAGACATTACCAGCTTTTTACTTTTCAGTAAATTCCAACACTGATTGAGATTCCAGTAGAATTCAGACTCTGCATATATCTGAATAAAAATGTAAAACACAATTGAATAGTCTTGTGTGTGGACATACGACAGCAAAAATAGAGCCAAAGGAGAGAGCCTTTTTTGAGATGTCTTTAGATGGAGAGTTGGTGATGTTACTGATTTGCTGCGGCTGTTGAGTTATTATTTCCCTTAGAAGTTGAGACTTGGGACCCGTCCCAGTTCTCACCCATGCCCTTAAAAAGCACCCTTGCCCTAGAATTTGCCTGTGCCTGCGGGGGTAGTAGGGTGTACTCACACCCTTAAAAATCACCCTTGTGCGCAAGTACTGTAAGCTCCGGAGCTCACTTGCGCACAAGGGTGATCCCAAGATTCATTACGATAGTTGGTAAAGTAGTAGTCGGGCAAAGCCGCACCACTATGAAAGAAAACATACATCTTCAGGATGTCACAGAACAATGTCACTTTACCTCATGTCACTTTACTTATATACTTTTTATCCTGCACTATTTAACTGTACAGTATATAAATGCACTACTACATATATATTTTTTGACTGGTATTGAAGCATTTTCAGCATCTACAGCTAGTTATGTTAGTTAAGAAACATAGCTACTACTTATTTGTATATAGTGTATATATTGTGTGTGCTTCCTGTGTGCTCTTACTACTGTCCTATATGTGCGATGCAACATCGAAATTTCCCCACTGTGGGACGAATAAAGGAATTCTTATTAAACGCATGAAACACCTGAGCGCAAGGCGGAATGTGAGGAAGCTTTGAAGCGTGTGCGAGTCATTCAGAGGGGATTTTTTTTAACCGTGTTGCCGCCTTATGGTGTGACATTTGCACGCAAAGTAGCCGCAGCGTGTGGCGTTCTCCGAGGCTTCAGAGGCGTGGATCCATGTTAATTTTCTAGATCTATGAGGTAGTTCAGAGACTGCATCGCTTTGACAGAAGATTTGTGAACCGCGGCTGTATTCGTCTGTCTCTGTGTGCGTATGCGCGCGTGTGTTTGTGTACGTGTGTGTCTGTCTCTGTGTGTGTGTGTGTTACATCCGTCGGTCTCTGTGGCCCCGTCCACACGTAGCCGGGTATCTGCTAAACCGCAGATATTTTTCTTCGTTTGCACCTGTCATCCACATGACAACGCATCATAAACAAATATATAAAAAAGCGGAAATTTTTGAAAACTCTCTTTGTGCATTTGCGTGTAGACAGAGATAACCAGAGTTTTGCGTCTGTCTGTGTGTGTGTGTGTGTGTGCTTACGTGTGTGCGTGATATAGAGCAGTCCTGTACCTAATTATGGCTAATTTTCTTCATATGAAATACAATTCAAAAATGTGAAATGTCTTACTTTAATACTTTTTTCATAAAGTCATCTGTGTCATATCTTCTCTGTGGTGAAATCAGACACATTGATAACTACTGTGTCGATTTGCATATTGTTCCCTGGATCCAAGGGTGTCCCATTTCTTAGGGAGAATATCCTGCGAGTGCACTCCCCTATAACGTGCCCAACACTGGTTAGACTAGAGCACTTTAGTTGTAGCTCAGCCTGGATAGAACCAGTGCCAAGCAGGTACTGAAAAAGTACAATGTTACGATGGAAAGACTCCCAATTGGAGGAGAGTTGTGTCGAGTCCAGAGTCAGGCTGGTGGAAATTGGGCTTTTGTTTCTGTGGACCAAAGAAAATAATTTTGACTTGAGTTGTGCAAGAGAAGTAAACGGGTTTTACTGGACTAAAAGTGTTATTCATTTCCAACAGCAACTCTCTTCAGTTAAATACAGTTAAATCAGGAGATCTTGTAAAAGTACTTTCATGAGTCACGCTACATTCATGGTCACATCATTCCATTTGTACATCCATCTCTTCGTGCTTTTGTGAGATAAAAAACACTTATAAGATTCCAAGCCAGGAGCTCGAGTGGTGCACGTTGAAAAAATGTTCTTTTAAGATGTTAATGTGGACAACACTCGTTTACTAGTCTGCTTTAAT